AAAACCAAGCTCTTAGGTGTTACATTATTGCATTGAATAAACAGTAGTTTGTTTTCTTTTGACAGAATATTTTGTATGTTGCAATCTTAAAAAAAATACGAACAGAACCTACCACTCCTTTATCAGACGAGTTCAATTCGTCTCTCATCCCATGCCGGATTACGCAGTGTCTTCCGCAGGGCGAGGAAGTTCGATGTTAAATCGGTTATGGTAGAATGGAGATAAACATAGTGTGTTTGGAAATTAGATGAATGTTAGACCGAATTGATACGCGTTCGGCTTCAAATAAAATTTAGAGACTATCAATTCGGTCTAACATTCATCTAATTTCCAAACACAGTACGTTTATCTCCTAATTCATGAATGCACATTTACGATGTGACACATTTCACTACAGATTTACTACAGATGTAGCAAACGTCCCTGTAAGGCAACTGTTGCCGAGACCAATTCAACTGGAGACAGAGTGCCAGGCAAACATAACCACAGCCACACAGCAGAGGCAGGCAAAGTTGTTTCAGTCCAAGTAAGAGCTCAGGTGAGTAGTACTTTCTATTGATTGATTCCTAATTAGGATTAGTTAAATTGTCAATTGAACATCCTAAATTGTTAATTGATAGATGTTAACGAATTGAACTGATTCTTAATTGGATCAATCAACCTTGTTGTTATAGGTGAAGAGGACTGCAACGCAAGACCTGTTTAAGTCTGCCAGGTCAATAGCTGAGGGTGTCACCAGCGATATGGTAGATCCAATACTACCATCCGGGAGCAGAGACAACCCTGAATATTTAGCTCGTATCGCCAACAGATGTAGAGACAAACTTCGGCCAAAGAATCCGAAAGATTTGGAATTGGAATTTGAAAGTCATACGAAGATGCTGCACGTCCTACCCCGTCCACCCCAAGTCCGATGCATTATGATGGATTTCGAAGCTGCCACATGGAAGGTATTTGATCGACTCCTCCCCGGTGTCAAGCTACGCGGCTGTGTTTTCCATCTTACACAAGCCATCTGGCGACATTGCCAGGAACACATTCATTCATTCGTAAAAGCATCATATTTATATAGCCACATTTTTCAAAGTCATCTTCTGTTTTTATTCATGTCTTGAGAGCGTCGTCACAGAAGCTGGTTGATCTCTGTGACTACATGGAGCGACAGTGGATGAGTCACTCCAGCTTCCCAGTATTCAACCAGTCAGTCCGGACCATTTATGAAATTGTGTGAACTATGAATGAATGAACTTGTGTAAATTATGAACTAATGAACTTGTGTAAATTGCCATAATGTTGTTTTTGTTAATTATGTGAACTTGTGTTGATTAAATATATGTATTGTCATTACATGAAAACTTGGCTACATGCTTTATTAATGTTCTGCTGATATTATGCTATATGTGTCAATAAATAATGTAAAACCTTTCTAAACTTTTTTTCTGTTCGGCCCATTTGACTTTCACCTCGGCCCTTTTGACTTTTTGTCACGGCCCTTTTGACTTTCACCTCGGCCCTTTTGACCTTTTCCATCGGCCCTTTTGACTAGGCACTTCTCGGCCCTTTTGTCCTTCGGCCCTTTTGACTAGTTCCCACCCCGATACACACCTTGGAAAAGATACATGCATTGTGATAGATATGAAGGTGATATAACACATTGATCAACTCTAGTACTGATCATCGCGGGTTGGTAGAACTCACAAAATATGGTATGAAAATGAATTATCTATTGGGGACACACAGACACCCCCCCCCCCACACCCCATCCCCCGACACAGAGATTTTAGATATGATGTATATTGCTCAACTTTCATGTCAATTGATAGTCCTATCATGTTGTAAGGAAACCAATAAGTCTGTGGTTTTAATTTAAAACAAAATGCAATGAATTCCGACTACATACTTCTTGGTAGATGCTGCAGCTCTCTGTTCGTATCCGACACTGGTTCACATTATGCACACGTTGGCAACTCGGACATTGCAGAGCCAACACAGGGACTGTCAACAATATGTTATGAACAACAAAATTAACATGTGATATAAAAACATTGAATTAGCATGCTTCATCAAGAGGGTATGCAATACAAACGACAAAACCCTTTCCACAGCCATTAGAAATGGATTTTACAAATGTGACTTCATCATGAGTATATGTTTGTTTCAGCAGTATTACAGCTGCACGATGATGTTTGTAAACAAATCGAGTCTGGACCAGACAATCCAGTGATGCAAAGCATGAATGAAAGCCATTTTGTAGTATTTTCGAGGAATATTTTTTTAGGGTAATATTTGATTTTAAGTGCATGTCATGACGCAGGATTATGTTTTCTGGGTAGTAAACAAAGCCTGTTTGCTTCAGACAAACAGATGGTCTTAAATGCTACGGATCTGGGAGAAACCTGCGACCAACCAGAGGTATCTGGTTACTTGCGCCTAGATCAAATTTATTAACATCATTCCCCAGTATTTGTCCCGACCACTCACTTATTGTCACATTTGCTGGTAAACGAAATATATTCTCTTTTTTTTCTGGAACATAAAGTACCACAAAAAAACATGCTAGTGTTCGTGAGTAGGATTTCAATATACTACAATAATATGTCACTTAACTAAATTGCACATGGTATTACTGGAAAGTGATCTGGTGTACATTACATTTAGTGTTTAACAGACAATATCTCACTGGAGCTCGATATTCTACCAACAAAATGCCATTCTAATAAATGGCACATGGTATTACTGGAAGGTGATCTAGTGTACATTACATATAATGTTTAACAGACAATATCTTACCAGAATTCAATATTCTACAACAACATGCCATTCTAATGATATATACTACAATAATATGTCACTTAACTGGATGGCACATAGTTTAACTAGGAAGTGATCTGGGGTATATTACGTATGGTGTTTTACAGACTATGTCTTACTGGAGCTCGATATTCTACCAAGAAAATGTCATTCTAATGAATGGACCATGGTACTACTGGGAAGTGATCTAGTGTACATTACATATAGTGTTTAACAGACAATATCTTTCCAGAACTCAATATTCTACAATAAAATGTCATTCTTATGAATGACACATGGTATTACTGTAAGGTGATCTAGTGTACTTTTATTTACATTTATTTGTTAACAGAAAATATCCTACCAGAGCTTGAGCACACGACCACGGCAAAGTAAACCAGACAAATGTCACAGTGATCCATTGCCTTCGATTTTTTCCATTGACCTACAAACAGTTAGATCACACAATCTACTTATGTATCTACCTCATGTGTGAAGAGGTGATCGGAAAACACGTGTTGACCTTTACAATGTGAAAAGATCCAATTTCTTGGTGTGAAAGTCCGACCTCCAAGGCATTACTATTTTAAGGATTACAAACAGTCATATGTGTTCATGAACGTATCGCGTGGTCCTAATATTAGATGTCATACAGATTAGGAAAGACCTGATCAGAAACTTCTATGACATATTGACGTAGATTTCTACAAAGCTTCTAGCTCGGTTAAAAACGTACATCGATATTTGGATTACTATACAAAGGCAAGTGTGTTGGCATTGCAAATGTGAATATGTGCACAATATAGACACATAAATATATATTTGCTGGAACACATACGTACAATGTTGAGTGAGTAAGTGAGTTAAAATTTAAAGGCACTTTGGCAATATTTCCGCCATATCGTGATTAAAACAAGTTGTAGATTGACAATAATAATAGATAGATTATAAATTCCTGTCAACGAAGGGAAGTCAAATATCTAGAAAATCACAGATATAAATCATGTAAAACTAGTAATTAAATCTAAAACATTTTAACTATAGAGGACAACACAATATACAAATAGGCCTTAGATCGCCAACAACTGAAGGTAGATCACCATACTAGGGACAATGGAGACTTGCAGTACCTTTGTTTCCTGCGTGGATCCGAGCTGTATCCTACAATATAGAATAATGCATTCACAACTATGCATTTTGCATTCACAACTATGCATTAAACACTCAGACAAATTGTAAGAATAATTTACCAGGTAATCATATTAAAGAGTACATGTAAGATCAAAATATCTATATGTAAATAACCACTGGATTTTTCCTCCTGTAATCTCCTGCAAACACTTATCAAGGCACTATTACCCAACTGGTGTACGAGATTGGGTGTTCAAGCTAGCCCACCTAATCCAAAATGTTTAGATCGATGTTCATAATGTCAGTCACTGGATGGTCTGGTCATGATTTGATTATTTACAGACCGACGTCATACAGCGTTTGGGACATTATCGCCAATTTGTTGTACTTTCCGCAATTCATACAGGTGAGCACAATTACACACCATAATGCCTGACATAAGGAAGTGCAATAAAGTATTATGGGGTTTCTATTCAAAAAGAAGAGAACATTATAGCTGATACTACCTGAAAGGGCACATTATCATGCCGGTGCTTACTGTACGCTAGGTCATATGTAACCGTTCTGTGAACACCTGTTGTTGTCAATGTTTACGTTTACCGTTACTTAACGGCATAAGTTTGCTCCTAGTTCGTTTTGATTCAAATCACATTTAAGTAATACTATGATCTCTTTACTACAATACGATACATGTCTTTCTCTGATATTATATGACAGATACTTGTAAGTGTAGATTGAATGGAATACTATGCAATCATATATACTATATAGTCATGTTATTAATTATCCAATTGATGGCTATTACTCTTTAGTATTAGAAACGTATTGTTTTTTCGAATCTGTCATGCCAGATTGACTATGTCACAGATCAATTTCCAACGACGCCAGTGTACACTTCCAGCACGAGACAGTCAACACTCAATGGTATCAAAGTATGTCAGTCTCATCCAGGAAAAAAAAAATCTCTATGCGTTGACTAGTCACACTGCTTGCTACTGGATGAATTTGTGTGCACTGCCGGGGCACGATAACCTGCGCGGCGTATTAAATAACCCGAGCGTTGCCGTACGGTATTGTCTACCCGTTTTGTATGCAGCTACCTGGCTTTGGGTGACGTTTTCAACAAGGATGTATATTACAGTTTACATAGCATGCCCCAGCTACTTCCTGGTAGGCTTATTCTACATGGAGAACTGAATATCTGTTCGACGGACATGAGCTACTGGAGTTTTACTGTTTGTTTGTGCTACATTCCTCTGGGGATTTATGCAGGTAAGTCCTCAGTGAAACTAAATGTCATTATGGACAAGGTATGAGCATGTTTGGTATGGCTCGTCAAAATATGTGCCTATAGCTTGAATATTGCTGAATGCGGCGTAAAATTAAACTCACTCACCCAGACTATGTGACACTGTTGAACCCTATAAAGTCTGCCCTGTGTAAAGTCTGCCCTGTGAAGCCAAAGTTAGCCTTCTTCGCAGGCTATGATGAATGTCGAGTTCGTGAACGCATGATACCTGTATCCTTTAACGCGTGTTTTAAATGGACTAATAGTCCCTTGTGTGTGAATTTTCAAGAAATGTTCATTTAAACATAGCAGTGTTGCCTTAGAGACCTGTGCAGGTCTGTAGCAAAATGCGTTACAGTTTGTATAATCAACAGAACCCTGAATGGAGTTGCAGTGCAGAGCTCAAGAAGCTTATAACTGAAAGTCGCTTCGATTTCTCGATTTCCTAGCACAATACATGTGGGTATAATCTAAACAATACACAGTTGACACATGAACAATTTTGGATTGTCGTCCCTCATAGAGCTTACACGCCATGATATAAGTGAGAAATTATTCAAAGCGGCGTAGAAACTGATATAGAAACTGAATTCAATTTTACAAAAAGGGCCAACTATCCTGGGTTATCACAAGGTGTTAGTAATGTGTTATCTAACTATATTCTTTTTGAGTAATGTGATAGTATTGTCTAACTTTGTTCTGTTCGAGTAATTGTTAGTTTTGTGCTATAATGTTCTGTTTGAGTAATGTTTTTGAATTATCTATTTATGTTCGGTTTGAGCAATGTCGTTCATACCTGTACAAATATCCACTTCACCATTACTATAAACATCCTCATACACACGAGTCTCAACTTGTCAACACATGTGTCAAACTACAAACGTGTGTACATTGGAAAGCTAAGTAATATTTAACCTTGTGAGAACGTTATGTGGGGTAAACTATGCTGGTAGATTTGGGGAAACATTTACCATTTACCTCTTATTTGTTACACCAGTGTTGTTCATATATTATGAGCTCCTGTCGCAAATCGTTCTTTCTTTGTAGACATTAGTGTTGGGAATTGGTTAAAATCGCATAATTGATGATTGGTTCATTACAACCGGGTTGGTTTATTTTGCAAATTGCTCATCTTTAAAGGATGACTAGTATGTAAGGAACATAAATTTCTTGGGGGTCTTTAAGATAAATTCAATCATGACTTGGACGAGCCTGTAGTGCTCATGAAATGTAACAGACAAAACCGACCGTGTGAATATGTTGTTAATGCAAAAAGTGTTCCAGAATTGTTTGTGTTCGATAATGAGAAGACATGATCGATTGCTTGGTCGTTTAGTCACTGCGACCAATCTTCGATTATTTCAATTAATCGGACCTCCACTAGTAGACGTACAGGACAATTCTACCAATCAGTTCAGACCAGTCAGTTAAATACGATGCAGATTGTGACATTCGGAACTGGAAACGACCTTTGCATTTATCTCATAGATGTGTAAGGCCATGTTCAACCAGGCAACTAATTTAATCCTGAGTTGACTTTTGATGCATTATTGTTGTGATATGTTGCAGGCACAACACACACAAGTAAGGCATGCTATGGAGCTAGTGATCGTTCCTGTAATTTTCACAACATCGAATGCAACAGCTCCCAGCAGATTTGCATCTGTGATGCTTACTACACAGACAATACAGAGTGTATCTCTGATTGCAGCAATGTAGACTTTGACAACGTGACAGAAGATGGACATTACATGTTCAGCAAAGAGGACCTAGACTCTTTATACGTGAAGTGCTCTACACATAGTGAATGTGTGTATCATGCTCCATGGCAGGGCACAGATCATACATTCTCTGTCGTGAAATATCAGTGTGTTGACAGTGAGTCGCTAAGAATTTTATTTTGACGTTTTGATTACGAAGATATGCTTTCCAGCGTACTTATCGTTAAGAAATAGACATATGAAGACATATTATTTGCACATCCTGAACTCATACGTTTGATGAAGAGTTCCAGTAAAACATATTCAGAACAATTATCCATATATATTTAGAAATCCTTTATTCTCAGAAATAATGTACTACTATTCACATATGAATAATTGTATTGTACTACAGTTTTGTGGTCTTTCAGCATGAAACAAAGATTGAACATGTAGTAATTATTAGATATGATCCGTTAGGCGCAGTGTTTTGATTGTATATCACAAGTTTGTAATATAGCTTTTCTTGATTGTTAGTGTTTTTGCGAAAGTTACCTGTGTCTATTATTTCTCCCACCCTATCTTTATGTTCAAGGTCGTGGAGTCAAATGTCTCAACAAATCCGAATTTGAATTGCAAGGTAAGAATTCGCTTCGTGTACTTCAATAAAGCTTCTCTATAATGTACTCTAATCATCTTACAAAAAACAGAAACTCACATTCGATCTAACAGTCTTTGTTTAATGATGACTTATAAATGACAAGCCCACTCAAAATACTGGTTTTACATAAAATAATCAAACCACCGTTTGTCTCAGAGAGGAGCATTATCACAAAATAGTTCAAGCAGCACCAGCGGAGTAGAACTGATGTTATTACAGTCGCAGGCACATTTCAGAATCAGTAATGTGAGCAGGTTCATATCAGTAGCTGTATGTTGAAGTGGAAACTATTATATTCGTGACTTTGAAGATGATTCCCGCTCACCGCTTTGTAACGGAGCTCCTCCTATACTATTCATCACTATTCGCATCTTTCCATAACGGAAAAGAACGCACGTTAACATTACGCTACTTATTCGTATTGCTAGCAGAGATCCAGGCAATCATGGTGTGATGATCTCTCGTGTATTATCACAGTTATAGCTGACTGGGGTCTACTGAATCCAAACTAGATTTGAATATTACACATCTCGGGAGATCGACATTGATGAAATTCTGTTTCAAGCAAGAAAGGGGAAAAATCTAAACTGAATCTAACTGAATATGTCTTTAAACGTCATGGTGGAAATGTCTGAAGACCTACTTCGTACTGTGAACAAGGCCATCGAATTGTAAAATTATTTTTAAGAAAACCTAATCGAAGGTTTAGATTACATTTGAGGTATTAACAGACGCTGGAAGAACATGAGACGTGTTTCCCCATTGCGTTCATGTGCCAATTGTAAACCATTATGATGACGACTCGCTATTGTTCTTACAGGCATTACGGGATTTCTGAAAAAAATGATATATTATGTCATTATGATAAGTTAAAGAGGAATCAACATTAGAATGATGTCATGACAAATATTTACTGATCTACCCATATACGTTTCAACATTACTTTCCCTTTTACCCCAATGAACCAGTTTAGGCAATTGAATGAGAAATCAACGCCTTCAAATAAGCTCTTCGGAGCAAGTTGCCCATTCCATTCATATCTTCATTAAATATAGTTAAACCAAATCAAATATTGTGAGAGACATCACTTGATTGGGATAGTAAATAGTGGTCTCGGGCATTATTCGATTCCGGAGGGTCTTAATTCGGTTGAATCTGAATAGCAGGAATTTGCGAAATTGGTCTTTCCTTTAAAAAAGGTTCATAGCAACAACACTACCTTTGTTCCTGGAGATTACTAGCGCTTGCTGTACACGTAGTATTTAAACACAAATAACTCCGTGATTCGAAACTGAGATAATTGACTTACAACTACACTTGATTTGATACACAAATGTTTTGGGGAGGTGGAAGCAGGATTAGATGTCAAACAATCGGTCAATTTTAGTGGACGGTTCTTGTGTTTGGTGCATGGTATTGTATCTCCTTTCATGAAACCGTGTTACCATGATGCCTTGTTGAAGGACTGGGTGAACCTGATGAGGAAGCTGGTGCAGATGTCGGCGCAGCTGTTGGTGGAGTCGTGGCCTCAGTCGTTGCTGTGGTGATCATTGTAATAGTCACAATGTGGTATTTACGAAAACGGTAAGTATTACAGTAACAGCTTTTGTTAGTTGTATTTAACAGTGTTTTGATATGGAGTCTTACATCGGTATCAAGTTTGAGTGACAACAACAACATTTTACATTGTGATAAGCATCAGATAAATATTGCCAGACTTATAAAGCTAGCTATGGACATCATTCCCAGTAACCATGGCCTTAATCTTAATCATCTGCACCATGGCCAACTAAAACTAATATCCTCTCAAGTCAGGAGGACTATATCCAGCATACACCAGCTCAAAACACAACTTCAGCTTGACAAAGTCCAAATACTCACAACCAATCATCAGAACTGCACAAAAAGAAAACTCTCAGGCACCATTAAAATGTGACAAACCACGGATCAACAGAGAACAAGAGTATTGCATCTCATTTGCGTATAAATATCAAAGCTTGCAACAAACTCTTTCCGACGGCATATAAACAGGCTTAATCCAATTGGCGGTGTGCTCCGTTGTATTTTGTAACTGATTTTGTTGATGGAAATCTGCTGCTTGACACAACATGCCCGGCGTAAGAATCTACACATCGGGACACTACTAAATTGAATGCAGTTAACAAAAGGTTATTCTTAAAGTTGAGTTACTCATCAACTTCTAGAATTTGAAACAATTGATGGGGCTCATGAGTTTTTAGTAGGTATGTGTAATACTAAATGGTGTAGCTAATTGCGAAACTAAAGTTCGAGAACCGAAATAACAATAACCCATTCACTAAAGATTGAATTACTTGAATTAACTACAATCGTTTTTACCTTGTATGTAAAATTCAAAACAATATTTCACGATTACACAGTCATGTATTTTCCATGATATTTTGTCTTCACATTACATTACATTTCTGATTAGCCTGATGTTCTTTCAAAACCTTTCAGGAGAAACAATAAGGATGAGAAATCAGCCAAACAGCAGGATCACGAAACTCAAAGAAAACCCCATAATATCTCACAGAGCCATTACCAGGAAATAGATGACTCACAGATACGCGGACTTTCGAATAATCATGACTATGCTACTGTTGAAGGTATGCCGGCTACACCAAATACACATGCTTATCTCACAATCGAACCAATCACTGGATCAAATGCACAACAGAATCCTGATACTATATCCAAGGAAGATGATTATGACCACATCGGAGACAAACCATCTGACCTCAGCAGCAACTACGATACCACAGCTTCGGTTGCCCAGTCAGTAGGAAGTCGGGCACATTCTCGAGAAGATGACTACGGCTACAATCGCCTCCAGGAAACACCGTGCACTAAAACAGTCCAGAATGACTACGACACTACAACTACTGCAGGCAAGGCAGCACAGCTGGGGAGGAATGATGACAAGACTCCGAGCTCGCCTTATGATACTGCGGGGAAAATGGGAGATGGTTTTGGTGACTATGCCGTTGCAGGACCCATGCGATGATCGCATATTTAAACACGTCTATCAGTTGGAATTGTCAGTTGCTTCTCTGTACGGCCAAGCTGTGTTATGTGAATTCATCTCTTTTTGGAGACATAGAATCTTCTTTTCTAAACTGAGAGAAATGTTTGTGTTTTACGACAACGCATATACTTTCGACAAAATGTACTGTACCATGAATTTAATACTATTTTACGAACATTGATGATAAGTAATATAGAATGAAAGAATGAATAACATTATTTTGTATTTGTAAATAGTTTCATTGTGACCTCATGGTTGTTATAAATAAAACGCTGAATTATCAACAACATTGTTTCTACTATTTAGTATCATGTCATCATGAAATGAACATCGCGAAATAGGTTTTGTTAATGTTCAAAAGAGTAGAACAAAATTACCCAACCCTTTCCAAATACAAAATATATCTGTTTCTAATTTTATGATAAAAAGCCACGCATTGAGACGCACTGAGAAGCTAAATATTGCGTGGGAACATAAGATAAATTCATGCATTTAATTTGGGCATCAAGTGGATCATTTTATACCAAGCGTTGTCGTCATTTTCCTTAACTGATATAGATATTTCGCCTGAAATGACGAATATCCAGAACATGCCACCTAATACTCATCACCTACTGGACAAACCATAGATTTTTACGACAATACTGTCTCTCTGCACATCAAGCATGTATACTGGCGATCTAGCAAGCCTATATATCTGCTAATGCACGTGCCCTATGCTCGATGGCGTACATTTCGAAATTATTGCTGGGACCCTGTATTTACCTGTATTCTAAAGAGGCAGGCATTAAGACATTTAAAACCACTCTGATGCATTCGCCTGAAGTATGTTTATTGTCTCGTTCACATATTCAAACGTTTTCCTCATGTTTGATAACAGAAGTTTTTATATATTTATAACATTTGACGCTTTGCACAAGGTATAATTGGATGAGGTTTACCTATCCTGGTAGAGATCGTTTTCTAAGTGAATCGACACACACATTTGACAAAGTATAACAATCAAAGTGACTATCCTTACATTTAATAGCTCCATAGGTTAACATGTTTGCAATGTATGTGTTTAGAATAACGTGAGTGTGTATATATTTAACCAACTGCTATATCCCTTGAGGTAGGGATGGCTAGAAAAACCCTCTGTCGGTGTGTGTCTTCTCTCTTTAATTATACTATTTATTGTGGTTTACCCTCACTATACGTCCATCTATAACTCACATATGTACGCAATCAATACAGACCCTACCTGAACACAAACACTCATGGGCAAAATATCAAGTTGAACGCATTTGACCCTATCGTCATGCATTTCTGCCAGAACATAGTGCAGCTTGTTTGCACGACTTGTGAGGTTCGTATGTATTCATCCTTGTTCTGATATCATGCTGGTTTTATAACAATCAGATCGCTACTATGTGTGAATCACAATCTGTTCTTTACAACAGTTTAAACATTTTCCTGTTAGACATGTATTTAAGTGAACACCTACTGGGTTTGGCGATATGGGTGTTTTCATTTCTCGTACTTCTTTCTATACAACTTCCATGTAGACGACCTCGACATGGTGGATTTTATGTCAACACAACGATTAGGTTTCTGCTGGAAATAAATTACAACTAAAGCCTCATCGTTTAGTCGCTTAATACGGTGAGTGAACATTGCACTAGGGTGATTTGGTTGGTTGTTTTTCAAACGCCGCACTCAGCAATATTCCAGCTATATGGCGGCGGTTTGTAAATCATATAGTCTGGACCAGACAATCCATTTATCAATATCATAGCCATCGATCTACGCAATTGGGATATGATGACAGCCAAGTCAGAGAACCGGACCACCCGATCCTGTTTAAATCGTCTCTTACAAGCATGGGTTACTGAAGACAAAATTCTAACCCGGATCTTCACGGGTCCACTGGAGTGAATGGAGATTAAAGGTTTAATGCCGAATCAGCCCGTTAATACAAGAATGGGGGATACTGTTGAAAGGGCATCTGTGATCCCTAAATATGAATCGTATTCATTTCTGGGAGTAGCCCCGTTTTCGAAATGCCGACAGACCTGATGTATACAGTATAGCCTAATTTTAGGGCACTGGCATAGTAGTCTAATGCCAGTCTGCATACATGAGACCAACCTTCAGGCGATGGCGAATTCGATTATCTTATTTGTGATCCCAGAATTTCATACCATACCATTCACATGGCGATCATATGTCCATATGCGTTGGTTCGCACGTCCAATTACGAAGCATCAGGTGACACCGAATTTTCTTATGAACACCCCACTTACTTTTGTCTGTCAGCAGGAGCTGATGACAGCAAATATGCTTTATTCCCTCGTGGGAAGCATTTCCGTAAAATTGGGATATCCCAATTTTACGGAAATGCTTCCCACGGGCAGCAGCTACTTCAGAGTACCAAACTGGTTGATTCACCACTATCGTATACATTTCATCGGCCAATGCAACAGACACAAGATGAGAAATTAGATCATTATACCCCATCAAATAGCTACTGTTGTCAAAGGCGTAAATGAATTCACAGTCTAGATTCATGTTGTAGCCGTCTCAAACACTAGTTCATAACATAACTTTTATCACGCTCAGGCCGGGATTCACGGCATAAAATATATATATGTGTGTATGTATGTATGTATGTTTGTATGTATATATACATATTAGTACTAATTCGTTAAATTGTAACACATTGAGTTTTCCAAGTTTTGTTATACTTAATAGAATTCCATGCTTATATAACACACATTTTAAGAATATTAAGGATTAAAATAAACACCTATCCCAGCAACAAATATTTTATGGATGATGTCAGTGTACCTAATTGTAGGACAAGCAGGAAAGGTATCGTGTGATGTAATGCACCTTTTCCTACTCCCTATTCCCTGTGTTATCTTCCCTGACAATGTCATTCATGCAAACACGTCAATCGACATAGCATAACGGCATCATGCAATTTCAAACAGATATGGGAAAAAGACTAAAAAGGAGTTTATTCTATCGAACTCGTCAACTCGTCAACCAATCGGTTACCTCACGGAACTTGTATTGAGTATGTGTGAAGCTGTTTAATGGTCATGGTGTTAAATGAAATATCTCAACAGGAACAGCGATGGTGCAGTTCAGTAGTAACACTGAATTTTACTAGCATCGAGCTAATGGATTTGACGATTAAATGTGTTTGGTATAATATTTACCAAGCAAACCGTCATGTGAAAAAGCTGCTTGAAACTGTTAAACAGCTTGCATACGACATGTATCGGTAATTGTGATATTAAGTGAAGTAATCACAGGTATGCATGCCTACATAAAAGACAAAGAAACTGTGAAGCTCTATATATACTATTCCAAAGAATAAACGCATAACCCAGAAATCTGTTGCGAAAATGTTGTATTTTCAAACATGTATAACTCGTCCACAAATACATGATGCATGAATTTTTACATCAGTTTTGAAGAAGGTAATGTCCATACAACCAAGTGGATAATTGTAGATTACGGAGACGTTGAGCGCGATGGTGACCACGTAGCATGGTCCCGATGTCGGGTCTCCTGGCTCTCAGTCCAATCTCTCTCAACCTGTTCCGTACAGTTTGACCGGATATCCTCCGAAGTCCAGGCACCCTGGCTGCTGTGCTCTCACCCGTGGCAGTACGATCACGCAAATGTAGTACCCGGATGTACCGATCTTGGGCTGCAGTGGTGACTCGAGGTCTGCCTGTACGGGGACGGTCATTTGGTATACCTGTTTGGTTGTAACGAGCTGCAATCCGTGATATCGTGCTCAGACTAACATTCAGACGCCTGGCAACAGAAAATTGGTAATCTCCAGCGTGCATTCTTTCAATGGCGATGTTCCGTGTCGCAGCGTCAAGACGTGGCGTAGTGATTTGACCTTGAAACTCCTTCAAAACGAATGCCGATTTCCGAAAGTAATCTGGATTTTTATAGCCAGACAGTGCATGCTCTTTGCTGCACAATTTCAACTAGAAGGTGTTTCTGTTGCGTTGTGGTGATGCCTTTTTAACTCTTGTAAGAAATCTCATCAAAATCAACAGGTAAAGTCGATTTGTCACTTGTGCAATAGTGTAAAATCATGTTATCAACACTTTTGTTACATATTTTGACGATTGTTTGAACACAATTGGTGATTAATAGATTTTTAAAAATACAAAACGCCTATGCGTTTCTTTTTTGGGATAGTATACAAACGAATTTATATTTTGTTCATGTCGGTGTCGTTTTCAAGAAAGCAAACGTGTTGCCACTGCAGCACACTATTTTTGCATTTCTCGTCCAATATGATTTCGTCTCCAACCACTTCTCAAATCGATGAGATGGGGACCTGCAGTTAATAGATGACGCAGTTCGATGTCCTGAGTTGCGTCTCGTACCTAGACGCACCAGAAAACTACGATCAAGAGTTTGAATGCCAGCGCCATACACAGGTATCACTTGTTGATTTGCTCAAAGATGAAGCTGTGAACACACTAAAATATTGCTCGAGGCGGCCTCAAAGCACATGCCACTTATCCAATGAAGTAGTGCAACGTAAATTAGTCGCGGAGAATGCTTTAATGGGCGACCGTGCCCGATACATTTTCCATAGCGTCGTTCTCCCACAGACCACACGACAAACAAACAAAAGCATATATCGAGATTCTGGTGTTCTACCCCTTTCCCTGGGCTGCTGAATCCTTCATAACTGGTGCAATGTATGTTTAGTTTCTTTTCTACGGTGCATTATGTTATAATATATATGGAATATGGCTGAGTGCTGCGCTAAACAAGAAACCAACCAACAAACGAACTTATCCACTCATTCAGCTTTAAATACTCAAAATGCAAAGAGAAGGCTATTGACACCACGCTATTGAGCTATTGACGCCACGCTATTGAAGTCGATACTCCCTTTGCTGTATACGTTTAAACATCCCGCAACAGTGTGCATGTTAGCATTGCCAGGGTTTAGTCACGGGTGTATGCACAGTGTCACCGGTTTTACAGTTACACAGAAGGAAGTCAACTCTGAAATATATTAACAGTGATCCAGTGTTATTGAGGACGACCATATGCTACACCCGATGGACTGCATCTAACATGCATGCATCGTGGGCAGCGCAAAATGGAGCGTTGCGTTCATCGTGTTTTCACATGAGTGTAGGCGGATAAGTTATGCCCAGCAAGGCGTTTTATCTCCTTTGTTATTTAATCCCAAATAAGTTACCACAATCTACTTTGAAATACACAATGCCATTTTAGAAGGTGGTCAAATGTAAAGGAAAGTGTATTCCCTAATATAACATATGTTACAATCTGCTTTACATGTGATTATGTTATGTAAACTGACACTAGGGTGGTGAACTGGAGGAGCAATATATGATGACACCTCATGAACAGGTCATACATGTGGGTCCCTTTATGGCTAACATAGTTTGCTGCATTGCTATCCTGACCAGAAATTCATGAATACATTCGTGATGAATATAATATTGTGGAACCTCTCGAGGCTTTGTTGTGTTGAAAGAGACGAAAGCGAATTTACATGTAACAGCTGAAAGTTGTTGCGGGTGTTAAATATAGGCGCCGTTTTTCATCCAGCCATTTGCTGTATATTTTGCTTGATGAATAGCTGGAGGCAACTTTAGTCGTGCTCAGGATTGCATGATAAGGTGTGGCGTGATTTCATCTCAAATGTATATTTAGTACACATACGTAATAACAATCATAATACCTAACCTTGGATGCACATGGATGTGATCACAGAAAACAATGCCAGGATAATCATTGGCCTCTTATGTACACAGTTTTCATATATACATGTATACATACACACACACACACACACATACATATTACGGAGAAATACGGATTTAAGTAACACCATCCCTGTCCCTCGTACTCCAGATTTACTTCCTGGTAGAGGACCTTGACATGGCTGACTGAGTGACAAGACAATGGCTACGTGTATGAGCTGGTGGTAGTATATTCCAGTGCTGTGCTTCACCTTTCAGTCGGTTAACACAGGTGAGGGTAAGTGTTCTATCTGATACTCATGCATTGTGTTGCAGCTGCTCTCATCGTATATGACAAAGGAATGATAATACATATTGTTCATGCATTTAAAGCTCCATTAAGAAAGTGGCGATGATTGATGTCACCTGATTTATGACGTTTATAGAACATGCTCCTCCCAAAGCCTATTAAAGATGTTCCTGGAGATCGAACAATACAGTATGGTTGGTTCGGCATACCGATGCGCCACGATGATCCGCTGATCATGGGTTCGAGCCCTATGTTTACTACAGTGATCCTGGCTGTTGTATACAGACTTACATAGGTCGAAACCGTCGACGCATTACCCCAGGAAACTGCAGAACTGGGCTTCTGAAAACTTTGGAGTACATCCACCCCACAACATTCCTCAACTCCGTAATGTCTTTACAATATTCATTCACAGTATGCTAAAGCATTCCTAGCCGACACACATGTTATTGCTTTATTCCTAGGAGATAAAAACGAAAATATGTGCTATACTTTTCCCCTCTACCATCGGAATTGAAATAGATATAAACTATTATTCTATGAAATTCGACATTCATGTTTAAACGATTCACTTCGTTATGAGAATGTTTTCTTCAGTTCGCTACAATATGATTATCTTTAGCTACATATTGTTACGCCATGCCTGCAGTGCCCACAACATACACCAGTAAAGCTTGCTATGGTACTTCGGGCCTATCCTGTACTCGGCACTACATCAGCTGCAGAAATACCCAGAGTATCGCTATCTCTGACGCCTACTATACCACCAATACAGAATGTAGCGCCTCAGGACTCTCAAGCTGCAACGTCAACCCGGATGGTGTGAAAGAAGACGGATATCTCAGGTTCACCGTCGAGCTGGTCCCCATCTACAGCCGATGCTCTATGCAGACAGAGTGTGTGTATCCTGCTCCCAGGCGAGTGCTGGGTCGCACATTCTCTGTTGTGAAATATCGGTGTATTAAACGTAAGTGTAAATATGTAGCATTGGTTGAATGTCTGGGTTGCAGGTTTGATGCTGAATGGAGTTAATAAGACGTGCGTTTGTTTTAATGTTTCTGGTACTCTCAAACTTCTTTCAGTCTGGTACATTGTCTGGAATATTTTCAGTTTATCTGCCGAAAGGATTGTTTTCGTCCTTTGTACAATAGCTTACAGATAACGTATGATGGCACTTGTCACCTGCCTGGCGTTCGGTATCATAGGGAAAAAATGAATATTTTATACTGAACCTGACATATTATGCATGTTATCATACCAGGATGACGACGGGGACATTTGACATATTAAAGGATTTAAAATATGATCAATATTAATATTCATTTATACATGAATGTTGCAGGTAATAAATCAGTACGCATAGATGGTGGCATGGCAAACGGCATATCCCAAGTTTCTGTCATTTCTGGCGACAAACGGTTACCATCGAATTCTTCTACGTTAAAATCCTCCAGATATATGTGCTGGCTACAGCCCAACAGGACGGATGTAGATATAACGGTATACACACTTGATGCACGTTTGAGGAGTGGTATCCAGCCAGACTGCTTATCACAGCCAACTGTCCAAATTGGGAATATAATCACAGTGACTACATGCAATAACCTGTTTCTACCGTTTGAGAAACTGAAAATATCACAGAATCTCCCCAAATCGATAACCTTCTTGGATAAACCCAAACAGAAAACCTTACTATGGCTTTTGATAACAGGTAAGTGTAATTTAAGGTCGTGTTCCTGATTTTGTTTACAATCCAATTAACGTTGTGAGGCAAAATGATACCTGTTGTGGTCCCGCTAGGCTGGTAATTAATTGTTATGCCACTTAAGGGGCATCATGTATTCTGTCTGCTGAAACTATATACAGGCAGTGGTTTATTTTGGGTTATTTTTATAGTTTCTTCTTTCTTTTTTTCGTTGTTGTGTTTGTATATCAAAGCTATGTCATTCCTAACAGTTAAGCGCCATGGACCATTTCTTCTGTCAATCTGCTGGGTGCTGGTTGTATTTTATCATATTTGATATGGTTCGTGCAAACTTTGTAACGAAACTGAGAGACAGACATAGATATCTAATGAAGAGTTACTTTATTTTTTATTGTTAAGATAGTACCTCAAATGACATATCAATATTGAAAGACAAACACATCGGTCCAGAGTTATAACCGATCATAGTATCATATGCCAAAATACAGGTTATCATCTGTACAAAAAATAAACTTCTGTCAGATTGTGACACTAATACTTGTAATGAGTTCAAAAGTTGTTTAGTACGATCATACACACATCGGATGCTTCCCACAACTTGGGATGTTTGAAGTTACTTCTGAGTATCCCCTTGTTTAAAAGATTGTATTTACGTCTGGTATTATTAGGCATAATATATTACCAGTTTTTATTTTAAGATAGTGTATGCAGAATTTTACGGTTATATATATGTTGTGTCTGAACATTGACATAGCTGTAATTGTTGCAATATTTCTGATAAACGTTTGGATTCTTTCATGAATGTGATATACATCTAGTCTGACCTGGGGATGAATTTTATGTTTCTATTTTGTACCACGTTATAGTGATTCATAAATATATGAACCTGCTTTCAGGGGATATTTCGTACAATTCTTGCTAGTGGTTTTGTCGTTTATATCTAAATTGGTTTTGTTTGTAATGCGTATAAGTCAGTATGTCCCGTTTCAGCAACAAACCCTTTCAGCATCAAGTGTGAACATGTTCAAGTGCAAACTAAAGGTAAGTTGTAATGTCTGAATGAACTGAACATGTACTTTCGGCTGTGTGCCTTATTTTCAACTACGTAAGATGAAATCATAATCCTACCAACACATATTTATAAAAATCATAATGCATCACCAAAGGTTTCCTTGTCACGTGCTCAAATGGGCAATCGTCTCTTTTTTAGAAATTGAAATCCTCTATTAAAAAATCTGGAATTAAAATTCAAAATAAGTCCTTGAATGCAGGTACCAGTGGAGTAACAACGATGGCAAGTTACAACATCACTTCAAAGTGGACTACAGAAGAAAGGCTACAAACAACAGAAGGTAATGAGCCATTGATGGAAATCCGCAGAACAAAAATTCTTGACGAGATAGCTGGAATTGTGTGAACGTTGTCTATATTTATTTCATCATTTCTCACTTTCATACGGAACGTCTTGGCGTTGTGGTTAAAGTAAAGTGTGTGTGTGTGTGTGTGTTGTTTTGGGTTATTCTTCTTTCATAAGGGATGGGGACGGTGGTTAGGAATGAACATTAGTTCAAAGCGTAAAGGTAAGGAACGATCAGACCAGGAGCTTGCTTCCTGAATGTTGGGATGCAGTGACTGTTATCGTTTTCACTCGTTAAAGCAGATTTTGAATAGTTGAGTAGAAGATCCAGTTCCCCTACATGGACTCAGTGCCTATTCTCGGTGTTCGCAGTCCTGATGAGGTGTCAATATTGTTGAATCGACATCGGAGCAAACTCACTGTCTTGTCCAGGTTTCAGAACTCATAGGTATTATGATTATTTTGATATATTTTCAACACTATGATGTATAGTCAGATTGGTTCAAACGAGTTCAAGTACATTTTACCTGTAGTAACGTAATGTAGATGTGCAAATAAGTATACAGGTTCATCCATTGTTAATGTGTGGTATTGTCTCCATTATTGACCCACGCTATGTCAATATCTATCTTTTTTTCACTTTGTCTCAGTGCCGGATGGAACCCGAGCTAATATCGGTGCAGTTATGGGCGGAGTTGCTGCAACCGTCCTTGCAGTGTCAGTAACAGCATTCTTCATAGTGAGGCTCATCCGAAAAAGATAATTACAATAACACAAGTCTGCATTCCACGTGGATGTATAAGTGAGTGAGTTTAGGTTTACGCCGCTTTTAGCAATATTCCAGCTATATCACGACGGAAGACACCAGAAATGGGCTTCACACATTGTACCCATGTGAGGAATCGAACCTGGGTCTACGGCGTGATGAGCGAACGCTTGAACCACCTTAATAAACTCTTCTCAGTGACCTGTTTCAGTGACTACTTTAAGCATTTTATTACGTCTTACCACCATGCACGTTTTTTTCTGAATTTTATATTGTGTGCCTATTACCTCAAAGCAGTATTTTGTTTTAGTTTTGTTTGTCAACCAGCACTATTATATCTACATGTAAATATTTTAATCTGCACCAGACAAACTAGTGTTTGATATTGTGATGACGCCTTTGGCACGATAACAGAGTTCCGAAACTGACTATCTTATACTTATGAAACCTCCATAGATTGCCAGGGGGACCTTCCAGAGGCGTTCCCGGGAGACGTAAATCATTTAGTGCACGTGTATCTGTATAGAAAGGAAAATACTATATAACTTCCATCCTACACTGCACAGTGAACAAAAGAAGGAAAATGTCATTGAAACAGTCATGTGTATATTGATCAGAATGAGGTATAGAAATCAACGGTCTGATTCATAAGAAATCTACGTGAACATTTCAATATCACTGTTTCTGGAGCCAGGAGCATTAAGAATATCACAGAACATTGGTAGAACAAGCTATGTGTGTTTTAAGTATGTGTTCATTGAATGTTCTTAACTTGTATTATGTATGTGTGTATTACATGTGCTTTCTTTGAGAGTCCTTACTGTTATTGATTTGTGTTTGTGCAAGAAACCGAGAAGGAAACACACTCTCTTCCTGACTTAAAAAGTGATAATACATATTGTTTGGCCAGGAACATCCCACAGATTGTCAAACATGTTGCAGGGGATCTGAAGGCATAGGACAGCTCAAGTGATTATGATTATGCTACTGCCGATGGCACGTCGCTTCAACCAGACACTTATGCCACCTATGACCCGGACGCCTTTGTTGCTGAATCCGATTATAATCTCATTGATGACAAACCTCTTCCCATGACCACATGACCACTGACCACACAACGTCCTCGGCTACCCAAGCCACCCACACAGGAAGGCATATTAGGGAAGATGAGTATGGATACAATCTTTTACAAAAGACGAACAGCAAGACACTCCAGAATGATTACGACACTACTGCTTCTGTAGCGAAGGCAGTTGCACAGCTGAGCGGAATCGACAAAAACACCGACGAAGACCACTATGATCATTTCTCTAGGGCACCCGTAGCTTCAGAAACCCTTGGTTCACCTTATGACAAAGCAGGAAATATGTGAGACTATTGTAGTGATCATTCCTTTGATACATTAATTCAATAAGATGCCTATAAAGATATTTCTTTATGTTTAACAATGGTGATTTCTTTTGGGCAATTGTAGCTTCGGAAACTCTTTGTACACCTTATGACACGGCAGAAAATATGTGAGACTATTGTAGTGACTATTCCTTTGCTAAGGAAATGCAATAGGCATGCCCGTGAACGTATTTTCTTCATATTTAGCTATGATCATTTCTCTGGGGCAACAGTCAGCCACGAAAACTCTTAAAGCTTATTTCACCTTATGACACTGCAAGAAATATGTGAGACTAATTTAGTGACCATTCTTTTGATGAAGCAATGCAATAGGCATGCATTTAGACGTATTTCGTATATTTAGCTGTGATTATTTCTCTATTACGTAGCCTCGGAAACACTTGATTCACCTTATGGCACTGACATGTGTGAGATAATTGTGGTGATTCTATCATTGCTAAGGCAATGCGATAGGCATGTCCGTAAACGTAATTTCTCTATGTGGAATCGGAACATAGTTATGCAATTACCGTCGTAGATATATATGGCCACCAAATAAATGAAAACGATAAAAGTTTTCACATAAAAGTTTCAATTGCAGGTTTCCAGCCTCCATCGGAGCGTGTCTTTATGAATCAATATCACATGATGATTATACCAAGGGTCCTCGAAGAGGTGGGGAATCCTGCCCCACCAGTGGCATCCGCCATAAACAAATGCACCTGAAAACGTACTAGAACGTGTGGTATGAGTGTAAATAGGCAGTTGTATAATACATGATTTTTGCCAGTGATGCATCAGATTTGGAAATGTCCTCCAGATGAATTAAATGGGGACGGTTGGTAATGAAACTTCCAATAGATAACAATTTTAGTCGTAAGGAAACACATAAAATTTATGGTATGCCTCAGTGCGTGTGTATATATCGCAAGACCCGAGAAGATCAGGGTTAGAACTGGTCTTCAGCAACCCATGCTTGTCGTAAGAGGCGACTAACGGGATCGGGTGGTGAGGCTCGCTGACACATGTCATCGTATCCCAGTTGCGTAGATCGATGCTCATGTTGTTAATCAGTGGATTGTCTGGTCCAGATTAGTTTATTTACAGACCGCCGCCATATGACTGGAATACTCCTGCGTGCGGCGTTACACAACAAGCAAACAAAAGCATATATTGCAAAGATTCCAAACGAAATGTTGAGATTCTGATATCCCACCTCTTTCCCTGAGCTGCTGAAAACTTCATAACTTCTTTTCTACATGCAATATGTTATGCTTTCGGTTATATATCAGCAATAACCGTCACTAAACAATGAACATATAAAATATGAATATGAACAAAAAGTATCGACCGATTATTCGAATAGATTTGTTATCAATGTAAGGTTACAAGTTTATATGGAAATCTGTGATTTTCCCTAATTGGGAAGAAGTTCTTTGATCTGTAGAAAAAGAGCTTTACACTCAAATTAATAGGTCGTTAAGTTTACCATGTTAGGTGGAACTGATGCATATCTTGTTCGAAGGATAATCGCTTACCCGAATTTTACAAAGGTGATACGACCAGGTTCGCTGACACACACATGATCACCCAAACACGCGTCATTATGAGCGGCAGGCAGCTGTAATTTCATACCGAAGGGGACCCGTGAAGAATTGGTCTCCAGTAACCCATGCTTGTCGTAAGAGTTGACTGACGGGATCGGGCGGTCAGGCTGGCTGACTTAGTTGACACGTCATCGTATCCCAATTGCATAGATCGATGCTCATGCTATTGATCACTGGATTGTCTGGTCCAGATTATATTATTTACAGACCGCCGCCATATAGCTGGAATACTACTGAGTGCGGCGTTAAAAAAAACAAAACCAGTCAATCTTACCAAATGGGACATCAGCCCTGAAGTACTTCCTCCATTGTCAAGTTTCTACGGCCTTATACGACCTTAAATGTATGACTGAGCACTAAATTTTATTTCCCGAAATCAGGGGCAGTCAACAGCTGTAATTTCATATCAGTGGGGCACTTCAAACTCGAAGTACTTCCTCTTATCAAACTTTTATAGCTCTCGACGAAGGTATCTGCATGTTAAACACCACACACACAGCTTTGCGGTAAAATCGTCCCTTAACATCAAATGCAGTCAAGAGCTGTAATATACACCTGCCATAGCAATAACCCTGAAGTACTTCCTCTGGTTTTCACATGCCATACCTGAGTTGTAAATGCTGAAACAGTAAGAGGAAGAGATATGGTTAGTAATATTTTGATTAAGAGGGTCGTTCTGTCAGCGTTATCTGAGAAAGAGGATGTAGTATCTCTACATCCTGATTGGTAAATTTTTTTAAATTCAGCCACAAACACAATATTCAAAATTAAATGCTGATTGTTCATGGATATACACGAATTAAGATACGTTACTATTCGGGTCTTTCGATATTCTTATAAATACTCACGCATAATGTGAAAAAAAGTTCAAAATGCTACGTTATTTCCAAACAGTCAAAATGCACAGGTAGACTTTTGCCATTTGAAAAAAAAAAAAATTTACGTATCAGTCGGCAGGAGTTACGCCACCCGGACATAACTTCAAACATGGTCTCCTAGTATGGTGTAGCTGAGAGAGAGCTGTCTGTCTTTCATTGAGTGAGTGAGCGTATTTTTAAGCCGCTTTTACCAATATTCCAGCAATATCACGCCGGGCGACACCAGTAATGGGCTTCACACATTGTACTCATGTGGGGAATCGAACCTGGGTCTTTGGCGTGACGAGCGAACGCTTTAACCACTAGGCTACCTCACCGCCCCTGGCAGTGGTTCGATCCGCTTTTAAATATAAATGTATGGTGTCTCGCCGTGGTATTGCTGGAATATTATTAATAGCTGCGTAAAACCATACTCACTCACTCTTATTCTCACTCTAACTCGTCAAAAGAAGGTAAATTTTGATTGTCCATCAGACGGGACGGTGATAACGCCAGGTACAAACCAACTTGTAGTCAGTAAAATGTAGACGAGTGGTGTATCTATGTTAAACTACGGCATGGTATCTGGCTAGCACAAAAATTCATGCATATCGTAACCTACAAAAGTGATATTATCAAAAATATCCACACGTGCATATATGTTCCGAAGTAATGAGAATGAACACGACGTTAAAGCTGTTGTAAGAAGACGAAGTGGAAGTTTGTACATATTAATGATCTTCAGTCTTGTTTATTACATGAACGGTGAACTGTAATAACGACATCATCTGTAATACACAGAGATGGTTACACGAGCAAGTGTGTCATATGACTTAAACGAAACAAGTGTGAAATTTTGTATTGCCCGAGCGAGGGTAGTACATAATTTTGCACCATTTTCGTATAAGTCGTATGGCACAATTGCTCGAGTGTAATAATTTCATTATTGTCCATTTTATCAATGTAACATTTGTGCAGTAAAACACGGCAAGTGTAACGGACAACTAGAGTAGCAACATATATCGTGAATGAAATATTTCGAGACAACCATCAGGTCGACACAACGGTGTTAGACTATATGTAGATATACAACATCAGAGTGTAAATGATACAAAGTTCTTGTTGAACGATTATGAACATATTTCTAAACGTCCTATGCCAATCCTCAACAAAGCAGTAAATATGCTGAAAAATACAGAAGCAATACACATCGTGCAAGACATATTTCGAGACAACCGTCAGTTCAACACAACGGTGTTAGACTATATGTAGATAGACAAAAACAGAGTGAAAGTGATACAAATTCCATGTTGAATAATTTTATGAACATACATCTAAACGTCCTGTGCCAATCATCAACAAAGTACAAATGCTGAAAACTTTGAGTTTCTGGTAGGTGCCTGTTGCATGCGTAATAGGTGCATGTTTGTAAATAACGTCCCAGTGAATACCATCCAGTATGACCTATCCGAGTCAACACTGTCATTACAAGTGTTACACGTATTTCACAGCTGCCAGTGGAATTCGAGCGGTGTGACAGTATTTTCCTATATTATTAAAGTTACCATCACGGACATTTAATGAGGTCATGTACATATCTAGTAACAAAGAATCACACCGAGGACTACCGTGGAACGTCGAGGATAAATATCAGTTAGGCGACAGTGTTACACAGAGTATGACGTCAAGCTAGCCTACACAAACGCTGAACTTACTTCCTTTGTTGACTACCTGAATGCATGTCTTACCGTTGTGTGGCAAGTGATTTGTACGGAACATGTACCTACTCTCTCAACAGCAAATGGATACCTACTTGGATTAAAGTTTACTGTGTCAAGCGTCCTACTGATATCAAACATGGAACAGTGAATTACGAATATAGAGTGAGTATAGTTTTATGCCACTTTCAGCAATATCACTGTAGGCTTCCCACATTGTAACCATTGTAGAGGAATCAAACCCTGTTTTAGTATGAACAGTTGGTTTGAACGAACATATTTATCACGTTTCAATAATTTGTTCATAGAAGAACATATATGGCGATGGACATTTATCGGGCTTACATGTACAAGTCCCTCTGTAAATGATGACAATCACTGCGCTCACTGTGAACATTAACCCGTGAGAACTGCTGAAAGACATCGCCCCACTTGGTTCATAATGAACACTACACTCGAAATCAGGTTGAGTTGTAGATAACTAGTTAGTCGGTAGTGGAACGGAGAAGTAATACACGTTAAATATTAAAATTCAGATTAAACAGAATATTAGCTCGAGAAACCTTTACATGGCGGATCCCTCTCCTTTCGTTTATTGTTATGTCGCGGTTACAAAATAGACACAGCGTCATGCTCAGTGAGCTTCGGGGCATTTCGTGTTTTTAGAGTGAACCTGGACAACAAGTCCTGTGAGATTAATTCTAGGTGGACTACCTCTCACCCAAGACTATCTCCCTTATATTGTGTTGATACTAATCTATTCTTCTGTATTGCATGGCCTACATATTCAGGCGATGTTTAACCAGGAAGTTATTTGTGACAATGCAAACCTCCCCAAGTTTATATCTTTCAAGGTGCGCTTATCAAGTCAAGCTGAACTGTCAACGGTATGACGAAGTCTGTGATCGTGTGGATATATGTCACCTATCTTTGCTACCTTCTTCAGCCAGTTTGTACAGGTGAGACATATATTTATATGGAGAAAGAGAATACTTGGTGATTGCCTGAAATAAAGGACAGAGCTCCGTGTACACAAACTAAGATTATATTCATGATTATGAATAATTATGAACACTGTGACAGTGTTACATGCTATGCATTTAATCATATGCATGTTTTGTATGAATGTATACACATGCCGCGGAAAGAGCACATTTAATGGGTAACTTTCCAAGTTAGGATTAAAGTATGGCTTCGATTTGCAATATGTGTAGCTGCACGTGTGTTCACGAGTGCTGCACGTTGAGAACATTTTCCCAGCTTCGTCCTTGCTATGTGATATGATATATAATGGTTGAGAATAGAATGAGCTAGATTAAAAATAGTGGTAGATCATTAATGTAGGCTCGGTCAAAATCGGGAATGACAACCTTAAAAAAATAGAAATGCCTTATAAGACGAGCCGAAAACAAATATTCTACAATGACGTTTTGTTCTTGTGAGTAACAAACAAAAACCACTGCCTTGCAATTGGTACAGACCAAAGTTAAATGTGTGTCGAGTTAAAGAAAATGTAACTAGGCTAAGTTGATCAATCATGATGTACTCTTTAACATAGCCTATATCCTGTATCAAGAGTAAGTTGAATAATTTCTACAAACATCTATGCGATTGTTTGAACATAATTGTGTGGATATGTAAGTTAAAATCACGTCAGCATCCTTTGAAGTTATAATCCGTCCTCGGTGCTTGGCAATTCTTCATCGTCCCTCGCCATTCCATTACTCACATCAAAGAGGATGTAGAAAAAAGGAATAGCCTAAAAACCGACGTCAAACAGACAGTCATAAAAATCTCAAGGGCGGAAAACAACATTCAAAAATTTCAAACAAAAGGTATCACTAAATTGGGCAGTATCGGTGATGCATATGTACATATATATCATATCCACAGACTCTTTCGACCCTTAAAATGGCTCAATCTTTGCTGGCTCATTTAAATTGAGCTCAACACACGTAAGAACATTGTTAAGGACAATGTGGCATAGCATATGCATAACGTTCACATGTACATAGGTGTGTGTTGTGTTTATGTAGGTACAACATACACCAGTAAGGCTTGCTACGGATCCGGTGGTCTGTTCTGTGTTCGGCATGACCTCAGCTGCAACTCCTCCAAGAAGATCGCCATCTATGACGCCTACTACACTAGCAACACAGAGTGTGATAAAGGTGTCGCTGACTGCCTCAGTGTGAAACCGGACAACGTGACAGAAGATGGATATCACAGATTCAACAACACCGAGATGGTCTCCCTCACAAAACTTGTTCAACAAAGAGTCGGTGTGTGTTTCCAGGTCCCTGGCGGTGTACTTCGTTCATTCTCTGTTGTAAAATATCAGTGCATAGTAGGTAAGTGTATAGTGCAATTTAGACTGAAAACATATGTTTCCCTATTACTGTTTTGATAGAAGAATTAACTTACCTCACGATAACGTGTTCAGAAGGCTGTGGCCACCACAATAACCACGGTGGATTCATTTGTATGTTGGCAGTATGCATGCCGTTATTTTTTTCATTCGTTTACCAATTTGAAACTTCTTATTGGGGAATGAGTGACTTGGTGAGATAAACACAATACAGATGTCAAGATGCAACTATTGCCTTCTTCAGATGACAATTAATGCTGCATTGTGATTTGAGAATTCAGCGGAGCAACACACACGACTAAATGTCATGGTGTGGTAATAAAATGTTCGGATACCAGAGTTGCGACCGACTAGTGGATAAGCGTTTGATGGGACAATACATCATTCCATTACGATTGCCCTCAGTTTTGCTTCCACATCACCGCCTACATTTGGACAGAGGGCAGTAACTCAGAAGACAAGACAGTGACACTCATCTGTTTACATATCTTAACTGATCTGACTGGGGTGCAAGGGGACTAATGATGCTTCGTGTTGTCAGCGTCTTCAGTGTGGGACTCGAGGAGTACAAGTATTGGTTGTCATAGCAACTCTCTGGAGCGGACGGACGAATACAAGAACCATAGCAAGTCGCATGGCTTTGTCTACAGGCACGACACCATCAAAGATCATGTTCTATCCTTTATAGAAATGAAGACACGTAACCTCCCGTTACCACATGATAATGCAAACCTACTCGTTGCACGTGATGTTACAGGCGTTTTGATGCAGCATTAGACTGTTCAGCTGCCTGCTTTCTCTTCAGACCTCGCACACAAAGAATATGTCTGGGTGAAACGAAACGCCGACTACAGGACCGTAACTAGCCGGAAACGCTATCTCAGTTAGACGAAGATGTGACTGACACTTCGAACAACATTCGCCAGGCTGTTTTCAAACATCTGATGTCTTCTACTTCAACTTCAGCAGCACACATTGTGGTCATGACATCGACAAGAAATAAAATCATTCAGCATAGTTAAATCGGGATTGTTTGTATTGGGAACGTGATGTTGAAAGGCAGTAAGCTAATACTTTACGTAAAGGGAAATCTCAGAGTAACACTATCCTGAAGGATAACATTCATCTAACAGTTTTTCCTTTGGTATGAAGTGTTTTGAAGCAACTATGTATGTTTCTAAAATAACGTTTGGTGTTATTTTATTTTCCATTTAAGATAACACGTCACATGTTAAAAAAGTACAAGCGGCCTCGCATTAATTGCAGTGTTATAGATTCGTTTTGCACCTGCACCTGCACCTGCACCGCACAACACTGCATTACTTGGAAAGGTGATACCGTTAATACTATGATATTTAAACGCCGCAGCTGCTGATACAAAATAAACTTTTGGTGATAACGAGCATGAGCATGCTGCAATTTTGTTCTATATCACTTCGAGCTTCCAGATGAAAAATACCTCAATCTTATTTTTGTAGTTTAATAGTGAGATCATCCAATGTCCAATGTACTCAATTCGCGTTGTATTACAGAAGTGAACACGAAATTTCGCTTTATCAAAACCGCCAGCTGCACTCAGGTGTCTCTGGATGTGGATGACAAGTTCTGCTAATTTATAGTTTCCATAAAAGAAGAGCGTTTGATAATGACATGGAAGGGCATAGCAAGACCTTGACGCAGATAAAGACAAGCTCAGAGGGAGGAAGATGTTGTATCGTCGGTAAGCTGTTTAGCACGCAGCAACTCATCACAGGTGCTGGACACGACAATGTGTATAATTACTTGGAAATCAAGAACATACGTAACGCACGTGAACGAAAGACTAACTGTGACTGTGGATTGCTAAAGTATGTCCACGGAGCAACAAAATAATGTCATTGAGCTCTTTGATTACGAAACTTCGGACAGTTGTAGAACAAACGCTTCAAGAGTACTGCAGACCCTTAAAAGACAGTTCTAGTTATTTCATTTAAGAAAATACTATCTTAACTGAGGAGCTTCCATATGACGCCTACAGTGAAGACTCTCAAGGACAAGGAAAACCCAAATATTATGATTAAAGAAAATCTGTACAAACCAACACTGTACTTCATCGCCATCGTCATTGTCAATGTCATTTTGCTTTGTGTTCATCCCTTTTCAAGGGCAAGTGCCCTCTTTTCTGTATGGCTACGGACGTATTTTAGAGGCTTCACTAAATTGGACATTTGCCCTCTTTCCACACTTCTGCCGGAAGAGTGAATGGTCCTGGTGTGGCAGAATAACATTAACATGGTATCGCCACCCCTTGAAACACAATGACGTCATTAATATGTTGTAACTGAGGTTCCAGTGCTCTGAAGTAAACTGATATTTGCACCCATGATGTAGGGCAAGCAACATAAGGTCTTGCTATGGAACCGATGGACTCGTCTGTACTCGACATGACAAGACCTGCAACTCCACACAGAAAATCGCCATATATGACGCCTACTACACTAACAACACCGAGTGTCCACATACAGGCTTCTCTAGCTGCGGCAATTTCAGTGCGGACGATGTAACAGAACATGGATATCAGGGTCCTCGGCGGGGTGCAATTCGTACATTCTCTGTTGTGAATTCTACCATGGCTACGTGAAATGCTCGAATTTGATTGGTCAAGCCATAAAATCAGACGGTATCAATTTGGATTGAAAATGCGTCTGATTTCACGGCGCTTCACTGCGCACGTATACAACACTGCCGCACTACTTCAGCTTGGCCACCAACATTATTAGGGGACCTCACTATCATAATTATTACCTTCTATTATAAAAATATTCAAACTCAATTACAATACACAGCACCAAACATAAACAAACAATATCTAACATATAAATCAGAAAACCTTGTAAATAGACATCCCTATCTATCCCTATATGTGCGGCAAAACGTTCGTAAACATTTACCTACCTGGTAAATGGTATATTTGTTTCCGTTTAGAATGGGAAATTCGCAAGATAACGGTCAGGCGAAACACAAAATTTGCCACTCATACTCCATCATGTCCCGTTGCATCGTTCAAAATGTCAAAAAACTGAACCATGAGAATTCAGTTCTCTGCCACCTTCCCCGAAGGCTGTCACTGCTACGGTCGTACACTTTGAAAATCCAAAGTTAGTTGCATGTACACACAGCTGCACTGTCACTCTTCCTCGCATGCCGGGGTGGAGGCACGTACGTGAAATCATGATCGACACTCGCCGGTCATAAAAATCAACAGTCTTTGATGAGTTACAGGTTATAGGTCGATCAGAAAAGGATCTATTCTTCGACTCTGCAGGGTTCAGGTTCGACAGTCAGTCAAGTACTTTCCACTGTCACTTCGAATTTCAACCTTTCGCAAAATGTAAACACTGGCTCGTCCGCCATTTCAAACTGTTGCGTAACTGTCTACTTCCAAGAAAATAAGTAGGTCAGACGATTCCATTATACTGTGGCCAGGGGGTACAGTAACACGGCACAAAACAATAGGCTGGTTTCGGTCTTGTGGAGTTATGATTATAGAAACCAAGCTCTTAGGTGTTGCATTATTGCATTGAATAAACAGTAGTTTGTTTTCTTTGGACAGAATATTTTAAAAAAAATACGAACGTAACCTACCACTCCTTTATCAATTCGCCTCTCATCCCATGCCGGATTACGCAGTGTCTTCCGCAGGACGAGGAAGTTCGATGTTAAATCGGTTATGGTAGAGTGGAGATAAACATACTGTGTTTGTTTAATTAGATGAATGTTAGACCGAATTGATAGTCTCTAAATTTAATTTGAAGCCGAACGCGTATTTCCTAAATATCAGTGTATTGATGGTAAGGGTACAGTGTAGTTTAGACTGAAAGCTGGATTTCTCTATTACTGTTTTAACAGAAAAAATCTCGCGAATCTCACGATAACGTGTTCAGAAGGTTGTCACCACAATGACCATGCTGAATTCATTTGTATGTGGACGGTATGCATGTTCATATCGAAGTTTTTGTCGTCATTTACATTTCGTTTAACAATTTTAAAACTTCTTTTTTGAGAAATAAGTAATTTGGTGAGGAGGTAAACACAAAGCAGTCACTGGCAAAATGCAATCATTGCCTTCACTGTTGACAATCAATACATGTTGCCTTGTGACGTGAGAAGATCAGAGCAACGCTCCCGATTTGCAACTAGATGCCCAGGTGTGCCGGCACATTAACAAGAAAATGTTCAGTTAACATTGCATCTTTGAATCGATATGTCAATGTAACAGATCGGATAACAGTGTTGAGGCCGATTAGTGGATAACCGTATGTAAGCTTTTGAGGGAGCATTACATCATTCTATAACGATACCCTCTGTTTTGCTTCCACCTCACTATCTAGGGACGCTAACCTTGGACAGAGGGCAGTAATTCAGAAGACAAGGCAATGACACTGAACCTTTTACATATCTTAACTGATCTGATTTTCGTGTAATGGGCCTAGTGATGCTTGTTGCTGTCACTGTCGTCAGTTTGGGTCTGGAAGTGTATGGGCATTGGTTGTCATAGCAGTTCTATGAAATGACGGGCGAATACAGGAACCATAACAGGTTGCTTGGCACAGCCTATAGGGACAGCACTCTCCGGAACGTTTCAAACAGTTGGTGTCTACAGTGCGCAGTCGCTGCCTCAACTTTATCATCACAATTAGTGATCACATCCGACATGACATTGGTGTTTGATTTATTACATTATTATGCTCTCCTCCCATTAACAGCCGTTGGTTTTGTCAGTGACAGAAAAGGTAGTGTATTTTTTTTTAATGGCGTATTACGTTTGCACCTCCTTGTGTGAAACATGGTTATATTTTTAGTATTTTACATAACATTTTACATAAAATTGTATGACAGTGAAACATTTTTGTAAACTGAGTGTTTGTGTGCGAACATGAATATACAACTGTTATTGAAAAAAGACACGTCAGTAGTAACCTGGACGATGGACATGAAACAAGTAGAAATCACATTGCTCAGGAACTCCTTGATTGTAATAAATTGAATCACAGCATCAAAATGGGGTATGTGAGTGTGATAGTTTACTTACATAATGGGAATAACGTTAAGGCATACCGGATTGAAAGAAATACTTTCAAGAATGTTTGTACATTTTGGTCTTACTTGGAGAAAGTAATCCCAGAAAGGCAAACCTATTCAGTGGTCAATGTGCTCTTTGTATTTTTTCTGCGATCGTCCATGCCTATGTGTGTATGCATATGTGGCACTGGACATATTAGGTCTTTGAATGGCTTTTAGAAGTGATACACACAAGGAACAGAGTTTTTATGGATGTCAGATTCATTATTCTGAGGAAAACAACACATAATGAGGAACTGGTTGTAACGAAGCTCAATACTGACACAAATAGTGAAATTTAGGTACACCAGTCTTCTGTTCCAGTCTTCATTGAAAGAGGATATCAGCTTATTGCCACCTATGTCAGAAATCTCGGAAATCAGAAATATGCCAGATAAGGAAGAGGGTTTGTGTGGATGTCAAGTTCTTTATTATGAGGAACACCCATCAATGTTACAACGAAAATGTATTGCATAGTTCATGTATGACTGTGTACCAGGCTGTTTGTTTTGGACATGTGTACATGTCATTGGCCTACGTTGAAGAGTTGAAACCGAACTGATTTTCTAGCATGCATACCTGATGTCACCTTTTACGGGATCATACTTTTCGATATCCCTCAGTTTGACACTTTTGTTCCTTCTTGGATGACTCTTGTATTGATTTATTCGGTTACTCAAGTTAAAGGAAGTACATTTGGGTCATTGGTGAAGCGTTCTCCTTTCATATTAAGTAAAGGTGAACATGCAAAATGTGGGGATGGTTGAGCCTACAGGATTTGTCATTATTTCAGATTCACTTCATGAGTGAGCTATATATGACTTATACCTTAATTAAAGACGTTCAGTATATCAAGCAGACATAATGTAAGGTTCCAGCTGACTCACCTAATGGTCAGTTGTATTGGTTACGCTGGAGACGTGCTGACCCTAGCAATACTTTGGGTAGTTTCATTGCAGTGAATCAAAGACCTGCAAGCAGCAGGAACAAAGTCCAAATTTCAAATTCACTGGCAACACCAGGAGTTTAAGAACTTTAAGCAGGCATAATATTTCATCGGAATTAGACATGGCCAAATATGCTTGCTTGCTCTTCGAACTTTATTTAGCGAATAAGTCTGACGAATCGAATATATTCTTCAGATGATATCCACATTTTCGTCATCTGCAGAGAGTTGTACCTGGATTCTCAGATACGAATTACTTTCGATAATGTCATGATAGTAAAAAGGAATTACTTTTTAGTTATTCCGGAGGAAGACAAAGTGTGATGTTGTCTGAAGGCTGTTTTAGGAAGCGACAAATTTGCGCAGACGTACTGACACAAACTGCAAAGAGGAGCAGATACACTAATTGTGGCCTATCATTTTGAAGATGGAAGATATCTATTGCAGAGTGTACACATATCTAATACTAACAACAGAGTGAACTAACAAGACAGATACGTGTCCTGAAATTGTTTGAATTGTTATGCACGCTCCATTGCAATCTACAACCTATTCCTTTAACTTTAACCTTTAAACAGAGTTTACGATAATTGACATTTGCAGGCTTTTCTTTCTTAGATTTGAATTTCTTCCTCTAACTGCCAGAGATAATAATACCACGGATCACGTTCCACACATGTTATTGTTTATATCTTCATTAAATTAAATAATGTCATGCGCCAACATTAGCATAAAGTATCAAACATAATTTAACTGTGGTTCTAAGGGAACACCAAGTGTGGACACGGAACATAAGTGCACATAAAGCAATAATTATATCATCAGAAAGGTGGTGTCATCCGACAATCATTGATATTTCTAATAGCATGATAATGGAGATGATTAGGCTTTGTATATATAATCAAGGAATGCAGAGTTATTGCAGAGTATTAAATGACTGATCCTATTTAATGTTACAAAAGGTGATACCCGGAACATAACCAGAAATATGGCGGGAATATTTAACGCCTCACCGGAAAATGGCGACAAACTGATATCTGATTGCTCACTTCAAAAACAACACATACGTGTGTAGGTTCGAGTCTTATGGAACTACCACAAGGGTATCAGTATATGGTCTTGACGTGAGACTGAGACGAGGAACTGCAGGGCAATGCTTATCACAGCTGTTTGTCCTACCTGTGAACTACATCACAACGACTAATTGTTCATCTCTGTTCCAACCGTTTGTGAGACTCAATGTAACAACTGAACTCCCTCTATATATCTTTTTCAAAGATATCCCAAATCGCTCTTCAATTTGGCTTTTGATCAAAGGTAAGAATGACGGACAAGGTTTCAGTAAACATTACGTAGTACATGTAGCTGTATCTTCAATAGTAGAATGAGAAATCGCCAGTCCTTACCTAAGGTGATGAAAAGTATCATGGTGAATGTTGATTGATAAGTACTTATCTTTGCGCGTCTGTAACTGCACCATGCTATCCATTGTTTATGCTTTGTTTCTTATTTTGTATTATTCCATCTTATTGATGTATTATTGACGCTTAATTGTATGATAACATCACTGTTATGACTTATTTTGCCATTTATTGGGACTTGTGAAACTGACGCACTCATAATCACATGTTGGCAGCCACGAAATACTTCCATTATATTGTACAATTAAAGTTCTTGTCCGATCACTTCTGGCATGTTTCACTGCAATCGGTATCTCCATAAGTCCATAACGTGTTTCTGATCAAACAGGCACAAACCCAGGAACAACAATCAGCCATGTTTCCACGACATATGACAGCATAGCATCAGGTTTGTTATTTTTATTATTTAACGCCGCATTCAGCAACTTTCATCTGTATGACGGCGGTCTGTATATAATTGAGTCCGGACCTCGATGACATCATGGGCATCGATCTAGGGTGCGATGATATGCATTAACCAGCCTGACAGCCCTATGCCTTGGGATACCGAAGACAACAATAACCCGGATCTTTAAGTAACATCAGATGCCTTTACAGGGAGAATTAAGGGCGTCAATATCTCGCATATCTTCAGCCAAGTAACTAAAGATATAATTCACACTTAAGATATCAGGTCCCGATATCTCGAAACAAACTTAAGTTTTACTCAAATTTCAAACTGAGTTTGACAATTTGAAACAGCTGAGTTTCTCACTCAGTAGTAGTATAAGGGCCTTTATAGGGTCAAAATCTATTTTTAGAATAGGCCCCTGGTAACAGGTTATATTTAGACTATGAGTCATGTCAAGCACCTGCTGTGTCTATTTTAGAAGAGTCTATATTTAGACCATGACTCATGTTGGACATGGGTTTTCCACAACCTATTTTTAGACTCTGGTATATAAGCCCCACCCAAACAGCTTCATGTCATACTCAGTCTCTGAAGTCATTAGTGGATATACATTCAAGTGATTTCACACATTGTGGATATACCACCAGAGTGCATTTCTCATTGAATTATACTGTGTACACTGGATTACTAAACAGACTTGGATTATACTGTCTACTGGATATATATTTTCATCAGCCTTTCAACTACACATCAACAGAACATCAAGGTAAGTTACCCTTCACATTTATGGAAACATACTAACATCTGAATAGGGAATTGAAACAACTTACCCTCATGTGAACCATAGGAAATCCCTTAGCACAAGCTTCACACATAGATCAAGTCCAGCAGGTGTATCCAATATTGAGAATATATTCAACAACCTTTTTCCCAGCATGTCTAGATGTTTTGATGGGTTGGGACAAGTAACCCATTCATGTGAAGTAACAGGTGTGACATGACTGTACTCCACAATGAATGAATCATTTGCCCACCCTTGGGCACCTTTATTTACACAAACACCATATGAACAAAAGTTAACAATATATACACAAAGATAACAAATTAAACATAATACAAAACTAATACTAACTAACACTACAAAAACCTAATATTCTCTAATAACTATCTCTAAAATGTCCAATAAGGACTCTTCATGTTGAAGAGCCCGTATTCCACTCTCCACTTCCCGCCTTCTCCATTCTATATGGGCCTGGATGACTTCTGTTAGACTGAACAAAAAATAAGGAACAAAATAAGATAAAAATCCTGTATATGATAATAATACATTTACTTCAGATAGTAATAACTTCAATGTATCTAATATACACTTACGAGGGAGGAGGTGGGGCAGGATGCCCCCCTCAGTGGTGACGTCACTGGTGTTGGTAGCGTCACTGGTGATGGATGGGGTAGCAGGCATGTCCACTCTATGATGACACAGTCATCATCACTGAAAATGAGAACAATATACCTAAATTAACACAAAATGGTTAAAGGTCATAATCGCACACACACACACACACACACACACACACACACACACCCCAAACATTTTTTGTGTGATTTATTTTAACTCGTTTACATCATGTATTACATGCATTAGTATTAAATCATTTTCAAATTAATATTACTTACTCCACAGAAGTGCTCATGCCCTCAACAGCTTCCACAAGAAGACTGTCATCAAAGTCACTGAAAGAGTAACAAAATGACATTAGTGAAAAAAAATGAGCCTATTGTTTATCAGAAATTGTGTTTTACATCATTACCAATGATTAACTGAATACTTGTAAAAATAAAATATAACTGTTTTATAGCATACTTACTCTGTATCCCAATCCATGATGTTAGGAGACTGGGGTATTCCTCAATCATGTCTTGGCTGAAATTCCATAATGAAAAAAATGATTTTAGGACTGACATTCTTACACTAGTCTTAGTGTCATAAGGATTCATGTGAAATGATAGTCAGAAAACATTTTTGTGACAATGAAATTACTTTCACAATAATTATCAAAATGTAACATAGAAAAAAGAGAAATACTTACAGTTCCAAAAAAATTCTTCTGCCATTTTTTTCTGGTTAGGTGGAATGGTTAGGGTTTTCAGTGACGTGGAATGAGCCAGGGGTGAAGTGTGTAGGAATGGGGACCCGGGTTTTAAATAGGGAATATAGGCACAAAGAACTTCGAGTACTTAAAATCCCTGATCTCTTTCTGATTATCGATTTGTTTTTAAGATCCAAATTGAGGAAATGGTGACCTTAAAATGACCCACATTTTTAGGGTCACCATTTCCCTCAATTTGACCTTAAAACAAAATACAGGTCATTGATGGAAAATTCCACTAGTTTCCACAAAGAGAAGACTCCTAAGGTTAGAATACCGACATTGACAAATGTCAAAACCACCCTATGTTAAGCGTCCTTCATTTCTTCAGTACTAACAATAGGCCAGGTGTTTCTGTAGTCACCTGGAAAACATTTGGTTGTGCTCTCAACGTTTTCTAATAATAAAAACGAAGAAACAGCATCTAGATACAAAAAACAACAACAAAAATTACATTTATATGTAGTGACAATATTTTACTTTATTTTTGTTATTACAGTTACAATAAAATAGTTGTTGAGTCATTGAAAACAATTAATAACAATAAAAACAAAAAATAATAATACTGATAACCATGCCTGAATCATAATTAAGAACCAACAAGATAGATACAAATAATAATCATTATGTGATTACATAGTATGTGATGAATTATGGTAAAACATCCTCCGATCTCGAGTCACTTTGTATAAATATAGTTCATAATCTCGTATTCGAGTCATGGTCTACATCAAACACATCTTGTACTATGTGTGGATATAATAAACATGTCAATGTTAAATATAGATGACGATGGTGTTAAAAATCATAATCATCAGTTCATACATATCAGTATGATACCCTGCAAACATGTCAATGTAAACATACATGCACGTGATCTGTCCCATCATCGACATGAAAAATCATGAACGGTAAACTCACAAATTATTGTCCTCCGTATGATCCTTCCATCAACATATTTAAACATGCCCCATCACGATGATATAGAATAATCCATTACAACAAATTCCACACATTTCCGTATTGTGTCATCCATGGACATGAATTTCCTCCATTTCTAAGATCAGACAAAGAAACGCCACGCACGCGGGTTCATTAGACAAGAGTTACGGCCCTTACCTTGTCTCAGTCTTAAAACCGCTTCTGCCAAACCGGTTTCAGTCAAACTTCTTCAAACCGGTTCGCAAACGACACTTTCAAAACGGCCACATAACCAAACAGGCTACATATCCCAAACGCCATTGCTCACATTTCTAAATGATGACTTATTTTAAGTGTATATATATGAATAATAACAATGACATACTCATTTATTTGGCATGTTATCACAGTATGATTGAAAATGACACAATACTGTAAAGTATGGTTCAGGGGAATATTTGTTTTATTTCAGATGGATCTCCAGGCCAAAATCGATTCTTTTGATGACTATGCCAGCTTGATCAAGTGGGCAGAAGAACATGGGCTGGGTCAAACGATGAGCGAGTAGGTATGAGGTCTGTATATGCTTGCTGTGTAGACAGAAAGAAGATCAGTCAGTTACAGCAACAACACCAATAGCAACACTTGAAGACCTGTTGGTAAAAGATCTTCAATTTACCCCTGAGGAAATGGAAGAAATGTCTTCTTTATATGATCTCAGCTCTAACGATAGTCCCTCCTTGGAGAGTATTGATCCAACATTAAACGAAATCAATGATCGGCGACAGAAGGGTTTACCATGTTCCTTCTGTGGAAATACATTTAGGAGAATGCCTGATCTCAGAAAACACAGGATGACCTGTCCTAAACGTTCTGCAGAGCTGCTCCACTGACTCCAATCCTCCAAAAAGATAACGTACTGAAACATTAACCAGTATGGTGGTGTAGGGTCCCTCCCTGATGCTGGGTCTCCTAAAACTCAACCCTATACTTTTACAAAGAAGAACACCAAGACCTTTGCCAAGACTGGCTATTAGTACAACCTATGAGGATCAAATTTAACACGACGAATGGCAAGGTCAAAGTCTCAGGACTTTGTACATTGAGCTTCAGGATATGTTTGAAGAGGTTCTGTGATAAGCCACCTGATGATGTTCTGTAGGAGGATTTGGGGAGAATCATTATCCATCATCAAGCCTATAAATAAGGGCTATTGTGGTACCTCTGCAACCTCTGTCCCAGCTACATGCAGAACTGATCATGAAACACATTGAGAAAGTGTTAAACAGTCGTGAAGAGCTTCAGCCATGGATGTCTCCTTTCAATGGCGGATATAGGAATCAATAATGCATACCCCGAGGGCGGTCGATCCAACAAGACCTTAATGCAACCTCACAGGTCCAAACAACTCTCTATTCATCTGAAACGATCCGTAAGTGCAGGATTGTCAACGAGGATAACCTATGTATGGTCAGAGCCATTATTGTGTGCTGGGCCAAAAGCTAATCAAATTAGTCAGCATGACTGGAAGAAATCCCATTGGTCATACTCAAACACTCCTCTTGATAGACCGAGTAATTCCAGTATCGGAAATGTCCTGGTGACATTTTATATGAAAAATTTAAGAAAAAAAAAAGCCTCACGCCACGACTGGCTTAGCCCAAGAGAGGCCGCGAAGGCGTAAACTGGCAGGTATCCCTACAGATCGTGCCTGCCATTTGAATGATGTTCCGCTTTCATGAGAAAGTACTAGGATGTCAGATTCTGAAAGTGGTCAGCGCTGAAAGAGGGAACAAGTTTATCCGGGACTTGCGATCAAGAGTCAGAACAACCCAAACTCTTCTACCTGGTTGAAAAACCACAATCCTTACTTCCATGCCATTGTCAACATTACTGGATTTTTCTCTGCCTCCATATCTTTGTGAGCGGTGTTTGAAACTCCATAAATGACAAACTGTGCCATTCCTGCTCTGAGACCTGCATTGTATGCCACTAAGCCAAAAGTGTCCCTGAAACGGATACTCCATTGACTTTAAGCCGATTACTGCCATATGACCTGTAGGTCACCTGGAATGTTCTTAGCGCCACCAAACGGGAAAAGAAATGCAAAGAATGGCAATATACACCCCCTCAAAATGTGAGGAGTTTCATGAAATGTACCATGTGTAAGAGCATTATGTCGGAAGTGAAAGGGACCCCAAACTACACATGACTGCGGAGAATGGGAAATGTCCTGGATGTCAAGAAAGTGGTGGAGACAAGATCATCTCTTTGTTACCAGAAACCTAATACCGAAGTGGACCTTGAGACCAAGAGCAAATCTATCTTTTACGACTTTGAATGTCGATTAGGATTGAACAGTTGATGTCAAACTGAGGAAGGTTATTCACCTCAAGGGCCCTTGTCCCACTATTGTCCTGTTACGATAACTGTCCCCATCAGTCCCTCTATTTTGTCAACATTGTCACCAATCCTGGTGTAGTAAATGTCAACATGTTCCCCAACTACTTTGGTGGCTCTAGTCAGCCTGTCCCTGTTTGCAAAGGAAACAGAGTCAGTCGATGAAGAATCCAAAATGTCATCACTGTGGTTCTAGATTATGCCCTGCCTGTAATACATACAAGGGACAAGAAAAACAAAAACAATTTGTATGAACCTCCTTGTGAAGAGAGTTGTGGATTTCTGTCAAGAGTGATTTTTCAAAGGGAGATGGAGTCCAGATTGAATTTTCAAGATGGCTCCTTTCAGTGGTAATCGCTAAAGACTTCACAGCCATTGCCCACAATAGCAAAGCCTATGATGGATAATTTCTTTTTGGAGTACATGATAGATCAATCCATGTATCCAAGCAAAATCTCATTTACACTGGTTCTAAAATTATGTACATGCAGATTGAGAAAGGTCTCAACATCAGAATCATAGATAGTCTCTTAACTTCTCTTCCAGGCTGAAATTGGCCTCCCTACCCAAAAGCTTTTGGACTGACCAGAACTGAAGAAGGGTTACTTCCCACATTGGTCTAATTTGAAGGAGAACCAAAGGTATTATGTTGGAGCTTTCCAGATCCCCGCCATGTATGGAGTGGACTACATGGGAACTAAAGACATTAGATGTACCCGTGTCATGGTACGGCCAACAAATACGGGATGTATTCTTGATTTTCTAGCAGTTCGAAGGAGTACTGTATCCTCAGATGTCACTTATACCACTAGAAGCTTCCAGTCTGTCAGTTTCAGCAAACTGATGATGATGAGCTACAAGCGAGGAACCGGAAGGGAGCACTACTTGAGAAGTGTTGATCCCTTTGCAAACTCTATCAATATAGCCTCTTTGTGCATGAAACATATTTAAAACCAAGTTTCTGAAACCCTCGCTGAACATGTTGTGAC